CCCCCTCATATATATATATATATACATAAATAAATGAAAAACAGTATCTGGGTCAAAGTAGAACTTTATTTACAGAATGAACAATTTTGGTTTTCTACAAGTCAAAAATTTTGTCATTCTGTGATTTTTATGCATTCTTACACGGCAGAACTGAAGGGCATTGAACCTATATAGAACCTGACCTTTGACCGTAGGAGAAAAGTCAAAAACAAAAAATATAAAATGGAAAGATTTTTACACATTTTAGTTGACTCTTGGACAATGGGGAATAAATATAAGATTCACATTTTTATAGGTTTAATCCATTTGAAATATGAAAACATACTGTATACAACATTCTGTACTCTTTGTACCAAAAATATACCACAAAGATGTTTAAAATTCCAAGAAAACACTTTGCGGGCAATATATATATGTATAGATTTTAATAATAGATATATAGATTTTATTATATTTGTTTAAAGAGGGGGTATTTTAAATATAAAATACTTAATATATCAGCCAGGCCACATAGTGAATACGTAACTGTTAAAACTGTGCAAATCTTGAACATGAATATTTAATGTTAATAAAAAGTGTTTTAAAAATGAAAAGAAGCAGCACAACCACTTTACAAAATAAAGGTGTGTATGTTGAGGGTCATGGATGTCAGTCTGCCTGGGTTGTGTACCAAATTATGTTTACAGTTGGCATGTTATCCTGACTCTAGAGCATTGCTTTAGTCTCTCCAGAAGTTGCTGCTCTCTGTTGATCCTTCTTCTTGATTCGGTAGATTACAATGATCAGGAACAAAGCTGGAAGGAAAAAAAACATGTTTTTCTCAGTTTGCTTCTTTTAAGTCTTAAATATTAATAGAGCAAAATGAAACATATAAGTCTTACTGATGAAGCCGAATATTCCTGCCAGGATGCCGATGGTGCCGCTCATGCCCATCTTCCAGCTGTGAGCTGCTGGCTCGATGTAACAGTAGCCCAATTTAGTGCAGTTACATATACGCACTAAGAAAAAAGAAAGAAAGAAATCTCAGATGAGATGTTAGAACATCATGCTAGATGTTAGAATGTTATATGTGACCCTGGACCACAAAACCAGTCTTAAGTGTCAATTTTTCAAAATTGAGATTTATACATCATCTGAAAGCTGAATAAGGCTTTCCATTGATGTATGGTTTGTTAGGATAGGACAATATTTGGTCGAGATACAACTATTTTAATATCTGGAATCTGAGAGTGCAAAAAAATCTAAATATAGAGAAAATCGCCTTTAAAGTTGTCCAAATGAAGTCCTTAGCAATGCATATTACCAATCAAAAATTAAGTTTTGATATATTTACGGTAGGACATTTACAAAATATCTTCATGGAACATGATCTTTACTTAATATCCTAATGATTTTTGGCATAAAAGAAAAATCTATACAACCATCACCCATACAATGTATTTTTGGCTATTGCTACAAATATACCCCAGGGACTTAAGGCTGCTTTTGTGGTCCAGGGTCACATATATGAAATAAAGAGAAAAAAATAATTTACCATCAAACTTTTGAGTGATACCCATCCCAGCGTTGTCTTTGATGTTGATGGGAACAGTGGCATTCAGATCACTTGAGGGCTTCTTCTTCAAAATCAGCTGCACTGAGGTTCCTGCAGATACATAAACAGGTTTACATAGTTACAGCAGTAAATAAATTAAATACAACAGTCATACTGTGTGTAAGCCTGTTTTTTTTTACTGAAGATCTGCTCACCATCCAGAGGTTTGATCTCAAAGTTTGGTGACTTGCGGTTAATGGAGAAGGTGAAAGGCTCTCCGTAGGGGTTGGCGTCCTTATCTACAGCAGTGAGTGTCAAGGGGGTCATATCCTGCACGCAGATGAAGCCCTGTGTCTTTTGCAGTTTAGGGTAGTTGTCATTCACATCCAGCAGATGAATATCCACCTTCATCTCAGCCTCCTGCTTGTCTCCCTCTGAGAGGAACAGAAATAGATTGTAATATTTACCAAATGCCACTCACCTGGAGTGACTCTGTTGATTTCTGACCTGTCTCATAAGCGATGATTGTGAGAGAGATCTGCTCCACCGTCTCTCTGTCCAAAGCAGCTTTAGTCTTCAGCTCTCCAGAGTCAGCGTCCAGCTCCAACCAATTATGTTCATCACCTTCCATCTTAAACCTGACAAAAAGAACATTTAAATGCAGGAATTACATAAAAGGCATTTAAGAATGCTGTTAAAATGCTAAATTTTACTGGCTGCCAGAGAGCTATTGCAAATAACATACAGTGGAGTCAAAAAGTCTTAGACCACTTAGAAAAAATAGTATTTGTTGTTCCATTTAAACCTAAACACATGAATATAAACTAAATATACCCCCCAAAATTAAGGATTTTAAAAATTGATGTAAGAACAAAATTGGTCACTAATTAAATATGCAAAGTTGTGACACTGATCATGTGGACTCTTGAACTTCAATCAAAAGGCCAGATGTTCCAGATGCTCCATTGAAGCACAAGATGCTCTTTGGATCATCTCAAATCGTTTTGGAGAACATCACATTTTACACAAACTCGGATTTCTGCTGTCACTAAAACATTCTAACATTTATATGTAAATTTTTCAGTTCAACTTTTCACTTAAATAGTTGTGCTAATCATAAAATTGGAATCTATATTGAATTATTACTGTAAAATAGTGTCTTCAGTAGTGGTCTGTAACATTTGTACCCCACTGTATGTCAAAGCACCAATAAACCTGACAACAATTTCATAAATTGCTTCTTTAGCACACAAAAAATAATAATTTGCTCAATATAAAAATGTTTTATTTGTAGTTCTAAGTAACCAAGGTGGGACTGCATAAAATGTTACAAGCGTAGACAGAATTAAATCGAAATATTATGTTGTTTCTTTCATCAGTTTCAACATATACCAGGTGGAACAGAGCTCTTCAATAAACTTCAGAAGTAGAAATATCAAAGCACTTTGAACAAACAATCTCATCTCATATATGATCTGATTATGTAGGAGACACAATGCAAAGCATTACTTGATAGTCTTTCCCTCTGGATCCTTGGCTTCAGCTGTCATTATTACGGTTCCAACCGTGATGTTTTCTGGAACGTTGACGTTAAGAGTTTCAACTTCAAACTCTGGAAGCTCGTCCACATCCAGCAGCTGAATGACAACATATGTGGTGGCATTTTCATTATACTCCACTCCTTTGATCAGGGGCTCAGGATTACGGGCATCGATCTGAAGGTTGAAGACGCTCTGGAGCTCGTAATCCAGTGGCTGAAGATTGAGAATATAAAAAATAAAGAAATGCAAAAAGCATAAAATGGAAATGTAAACAGTTTTTGCATTTCAACATGTGTTCCTCATGAGTGAATTCTTGTTACCCGAGCGATGTAGACTCTGCCCTCTCCAGTATCTTCATCAACCTCAATGGCTAAGAGGTTATGTGGGTCTCCAGCAGTGATGTGATACTCCACCCTAGAGCTTCCCGTTCCTGGGTCATCTGCATCTGTGGCTTTGATGCTGAGCAAAGTGGTTCCCAATTCAGCTAGTTCAGGAACACTGTGGGTCCCATACTTCAACAGGGAAGAATGTGGTTATGAATCAGAGCAGAGATTAAGTATTCAATAATCTACAGGGAGAAAGAATGTAATTGATGTAAGGAGTAAAAAAAAATGTATACATCTTTTTTCTCGAAGACAGGGATCTCGTTATTGATGTCGATGACCTTGATGATTGCTTTACATTCCGTGGTGTAAACTGCAAATAAGTGCAAAAGTTAAGGAGCGCATTCATCAAAAAGTTTTTCATTTTTAGTACATTTGAGTTCAGGTTGTGTTTACCTCCATCAGTCACACTAAAGGTGAGCTCATACTGAGGCACCTCTTTCCTTTGGAAGTTTTTATTTGCCAGTTTGATTTCACCATTGACTTGGTCGATGGTGAACATTCTGTCAAAAGGCTTGGTAGGCATCTGTCTTAGGAGTGTGTAGTCTAATAATGAGTTCAGTGTGCCCTCCTTATCGCTATCATGAGCAAGCAGAACCCCAATTTGATTACCTAAACAAGCATATAATTAAACATTTCAAGATCAAAATTGAAGGTGAATGATAAAACAGTTAATAAAATACTCAAATAATTTAAAACATGTCAAGAAAGTGGGATCCAAAAGTCTGAGATTCAAAATCTGTTTCAAATCTTGAAAGAATTCATTTTAAACAAACAGTATGACATAAAATACATGAATGTTTGAGATTCTGTTCTCTTGTGTGACACTGATCATGTAATCTCATTTGAATTTTGAAAAGGACAACAAAAATGCCATATTAAGAATTTAGAATGTTTGTTAATTGTTTGACTTTGAAATGTTTATGCAGATTTATTTGTTTATTATTCTTTAAAGAAGAAAAAAAAGAAATTATAATACATAAAAAAATTTATAAGCCTTTTCACCAGTGGTCTCAGACTTTTTGACCCCTCTTTATGCATTTGGTCAATTTGTGCCATCACATCCACCTGGTTTGAATTTATGTAATGTGAGTGTGGTCCAGGTTATCCCCACAAGGATAATAAAACCAGATTTTTTTTTTTTACCATGTGGGAACAATTTTTTGATCTCCATGAGGAAACAAGCTTATACATTATACAAAATGCAGAAAGTTTTCTGTAGGGTTGGTTAGGGGATAGAATATACAGTTTATACAGTATAAAAAATCATCATGTCTATGCAAAGTCCCTATAAAAAAAGAAAACCCAACTACGTGTATGTGTATATATAAAGGGTCTCACATTATTACCTATGGGCTCATTCTCTTGCACCTCAAACACAGCTTCATCACACACAGGAGGGTTATCATTCACATCCTGCACCTGCACATGAATCTCCATGGGTTTTTCCAGCTCAACACCCTGTTCATCTTCTGCCAAGACCACTAAAGTGTACTAAAACACACACACATACATGTCAAAAATAAAATGCAACACTCAGTTTTATACAATATGTAATAAGGAGTGAAATATGTTGAAGCCCCGATGTAGTTTACAGACTGGTATTGAGTATTTTTCTCTTTTAGTTCAGTTTCTCAAGCATTTCTATTTACCATATCTTTCTCTTCTCTATCCAGAGGAGCGCTAACATAGATTTCTCCATCTTCATTGATGGTGAAGGGGAAGGAAAGCCTTTCTTTCTGTACCAGCCTGTACAATGCGGTGGGATCATTGGCACGCACCTAAAAAACAAACAAACAAAAACAATAAATAAATAAAAAGTTTAAAAATTAAATTAAATTAAATAATGTAATTAATCATTTAAAATCATATGAATAAAATTAAAAGTAACACTGCCTAGCATAACGTAACATTATTGTTTTTAGATCCAGACTTACTGTGGTAAGATACAGAGGGTATTCCTCTTCCAGATTTTCTCTGATGGCGATTGGTCCAGGGCTGACCCAGAGGTTTTGAATGACAGCTATGTTGACCCGTGTCGTGCTACTCAAAGCGTTTAGAGCTCCACCTCCTAAATCCTCTGCGCGAACAATCAGTGCATAGTCTGGATCTTGAAGAAAATTCACTTCTCGTCTTTCTGCTCATACCAAAATAAACATTCATTAATTACTACTGATTCTGAAGTAATGAAATAATGATTAATGAAACACTGATTCATGTTGCTCATTTAACTGTTGTGCTTTAACTCCGTTAACTCAAATCAGTTGATCCAATTGCTTTCAAAATGATTCACAGTTTCAGAGCTCTTGAAAAACCACAGGCCGTCGTCACCTGCAGGTCGAAATGGTGTAAATTAAATGAAAACGTATACCTTTTACATATCAGATGCAGCTGTTTTCATGAGATTGTTGTCTATTAAATGAACTACTGATTTAAAAAAAAATATTCGTAAAAGCTGTTTTGAAAGCGCCCTTCATTTTTGATCTGAGCATCAGCACAGCTGAGATTCTCCCATAATAAAATAATGTCAGTTCAGGAGTATTTCACATCCATTTATTTATTTGACAGGTCACTGTGGTGCTCACCTTTAAGTGGTGAGGTTCAGTCAATAGAGTATTATTCCACAGCTTGATAATCTGATGAAGTGAAAGGCCTACACATTTCTGTTCATCACATGATGTTCATTGATTTGAGCTGGTAATGTGGATGCTGAATGGTGAAGTAATCTGGGTTAAATCCAGCCTCATTTCTGAGACGACAGTAATCTGCACTGCTTGAGCACAGTTAATGACTGTGTTCTTATTTACAGCACGTGGCAAGTTCCACACACCAGAGTGAATGTAATCACAGAAGTGGTCATTCATAGACATTAACACACCAGTTTAATCTGAGTGTGTATGTGAGAGCACTGTAATCAGTAGCGTTCATTTCAGTCTTATTCTGAATTACATGTTCTGTCCTCCCTCATGCTCTCATTCGCTCAAAGAGGATCACAAACAGAGGAGACAGACCCAGATACTGCTTTCATTTGGCCCATTTATACATTTCTTAATCAAAGTTCTGTTATTCATAGGGAAATGCTAGTAAACAAGTCTCTGAGTCTGGCATGATTATGTACACCACATAAACTGCTTTTTCAAAATACCATGGAATCTATGGAAGGAAAGCTTGTTTTCACCACAGAAATAAAAAAATAAAAATAAAAATGTAACTGTGACTTTTTATCTCACAATAAGAATACAATTCTGATCTCTTTTTTTTTTTTTTACAATTCTGAGTTTATATCTCACAATAAGGACCCCCCCCCCTCCATATAAATATAAATTGAAAGATATACTCATCCAAATTAAAAATTTCTGAATTGTGAGATATAAACAGTTCTGAGTTTACGTCTTGCAGTTTTGAGTTAATATCTCACAATTCTTTTTCACAAGAGTTTTTCTTAGAATTCCAAGTTTACATCACACAATTCTGTCACCTAATCACCTAATTAGATTGATTTTTATCACAGAATATCAAATAAGCTGAAAATAAGCTTCACTGAAATAAGCTTTTATATAAAACTGTTAAACCAACTGTTTGGGTGTTTTTGTTTGTTTTTTTGCTTGTTTGTTTGTTGTTAAATATCAATTTCAAAATCATTCTGATAGTAAGTTTAGTAATGGGTAAAAAAAATCTGTGAAAAGGGTGGATTGCTTCATGGCAGCAACAAATACACATGTAATTATGACAGTGATATATTTATGAATTCCACTCACTTAACTGTAGGGAGCTTCAATGTCGCAAAAATAAACAAAACTACATACAGTTGTGTTAAATAACATGATCACTGTGTGTGTTTCTGTATGTTCTCACCAGCACGTTCGACGCATGTGTAAAAGGGGTTGTTCTCCAGAGGTATGTTGTTCCTTGGAATACAATAGTCCTCAAACTTCTTTTTCAGGACATCAGGACTGCCACGGACCTCCCCGCGGCTGTACGTTACAGTGGGCCTGGCCCTCAGAAACTCTGCTCCTGCAAAACAACAGAAAGACACACGTTCAATCTTCTTTTAAAGAGAAATACTGGTTTGGCACGTTTGGGTTTTTCTGTGTATATTTTTGTTCCAAATGTGTTGACATACCTTCCTCTGTTATAAAGATATCGCCACTGTCCGGATTAATGCCAAAGTAAAAACCATTTCCATGATTTGGGATTTGGTTCACAATGCTGAATCCAAGTTGGGCATTTAATGTGTTGGGATCGTCTGCATCGGTAGCAAACACCTGCAAGAATCGAACTCCTGCACGCACACAAGATTACAAGTACAATTAAATGTGTGTTCATTTTAATTTGAACAGTTTAGAGCAGGGTTCCTCAAATCTTGCCCTGGAGGGCCAATGCGCTGCAGAGTTTAGCTCCAACCCTAATCAAACTCGCCTACCTGTGATGATCCTACAGACATTAATTAGCTTGCTCGGGTGTGTTTGATTAGGGTTAAAGCTAAACTCTGCAGGAAAGTGGATCTCGTGGGCCAGATTTGAGGATCCCTGGTTTAAAGTTTCAATGTCCGTTGATAATAGGTGTGTTTCTCACCTGCAGGAGAATGCTCTCTAACACGGCCACTGTACTGACTCTCACTAAAGACAGGGTGATTGTTGTTGATATCTACAACTTGCAAGACAACCGAGTAAGGCCCATCAACAGTTTCACCATCTGCTGAACGTGCTTCAATCTGAAGAAAAACACACACATATTTAGATATATTTGTACTGAAATTTACATTTAGATGTCAATACATGTCACTTTTTAATTTTTAAAGCTGTCATTTTATCAAATAATTTTATACAATTATAATGTGGTTTTATGACCTCATATTAACTGAAAGACTACAATGGAATATTTGTACTTTTAAAATTTTCACACCTCAGAACAATTTAAAATGAACTACTGAATGTAATACAGAGAAAAATTAATCGTGACCAGAATTTAAAATATAGGCTTTCCATATACAATTTTAATGTAAAACCATGTTGCTAAAAATAATCCCTGGACATGTTATACATCAGCAATGTGCTTTGTGCATACTAGAAAAGAACAAAGTAGGGATGTTGTATCTTTTTGAAGACCCAGGTGGCTTGCATGTTATGTGTGATATTTCATAATACAATAATAAATTACATCTAGATGGTGGCTCTTCTCAGGGCTCCATTCCAGAGGTTGCTCCAGGAATAGCCAGCCGTCTGTAGAAATACTGATCTTTCCTTCGGTCTCTCCGCTTACATGGTATGTCTCCGCTTCCTCTGTAGATGTAAACTGAACAAAGAAAACATTTCTAGAATATTATCAATCAATACATTCAAAAATATTACCGACAACAGATACTGAAAATATTCTAATAAAAATGTATGCATTATATCTGTCTTCACAACTAATCTGTCTGTCAATCTAAAACTAACCATTAAAACACAAAAACAGAGCCTACGGTACCTGGTAAATGGGATAGGGCACAGGTGTAGCCTCTGGCACATCTAAAACGAGATGTCCTAATGGCCCCTTTTTGTCTTCCAGACCAATCCCATGAGTCTAAGAGAGAGAGAGAGAGAAAAGAATTATGAAGCCATGTGAAAAATAACACCCTAAGTCGCTGAATTTAAAATGACTTAATGCAAAATCACCATTATAGATAAGCATATTGCCAACTGCTATATTGTCTGTTATCGATCTATACAGTCATGAACAACATTAGTGGCTAATATTCTTTCTGAGAATGAGATTTCCCTGCATACTAATAAAAACATTTGACCACACTTCTTAATAAATAACTGAATAAAGTTTTAAATTACATTTTAAATAACTGAATAATTATTGTCTTACTGCAATATAAACAGTCAATTATTTAATATCAAGTCAGTAAACCTATCTGCGCTTTGAAGGTTGCTGAATATTTGCCCATGTCTGTGGATTATTTATGTAGAACAAATCATTTAACTTTCCGAATGAATCCAGATTATGTCTGTGTGTCTTTGACTGATTAATGGAGTGTGGGCAGAGAAATGGACTTCAGCATAGTTACTCATTTATGGAGTGAATAAAAGTTTGTAAGGACACTACAAGGTCACCGAGTTAAAATCCTACTCGCACACACACTTACAATGCTGACGAGAAGGGTCAAGTGTAGCAAATGTGCACCTCTCATGGTCCCAGGCAACAAAACCTGGTGGAAAAGGAATGACAACATGTGAAACGGTGCCTTTAATTAAAAGGACCTTTATTATAGGTACTGCAACAGCCATTATATTTATTTGCCAAATAACATTATTAGATGACTATTTCCTGACATGATGGCCCCTGCTCTGCAAACTGAGCAATGAAGTGGAGCCACATGGTGTGACAAAAGCCTAATTACAAGTTGCCCAGTCAGGAAATAGACCCATCTGCTTCTTTAATGTTAAACTTCCGTCAATGATTATTAACAAAACATACTATTCAACCAGTCCTGAGTAACATTTTAAAATATTACAAATATTTCAGCAATATAATTATGATTACCTTTCCTATGTGTGTGTAGAGGAATTTTTTGTTTATTTTCCCCTCTATTATCAGACTAATTTGTGCATATTTTGTCAGTCCCTCTGTGCATCTCATATGCATAAAAATAGTGCATGAGTGGCATTTGATGGTGACATCATGACTCTCGTCATGTGGCGGTGTGTGTGTGTGTGTGTGTTTGTGTTTTACATGAATCGCAGCCCATAAAAAGGTTATTTAAAGGTCACTTGGCATTCAAGCGTGGGCGGTGCCTCCTGTGCCAGACAGCGCTGACTATGTGTGCATGTGTGTTTTTGTGTGTCACTGCTGTATCACAGTGTATCAGATTTTATAATGCCTGTACTGACAGTTATATTACAAAGCCAAGACTTTTAAATATTAAATATTTATGTACTTGCAGATCCACACATCTGAAAAGAGGAAGGGGCAAAACATTCAAATTAAATGTTCAAGAAAGAAATGTGTATGTATGTCTGAATACTTAGGACCATGTGTTATTTCAGTTTTTCTTTTTTAATAAATCTGCATAAATGTCAACAATTCTGTGTTTTTCTGTCAATATGGGGTGCTGTGTGTACATTAATGAGGAAAAAAAATTAACTTAAATGATTTTAGCAAATGGCTGCAATATAACAAAGAGTGAAAAATTTAAGGGGGTCTGAATACTTTCCGTACCCACTGTATATATATATATATATATAGCCTGCAAAGTGTCTGACATTTTGTACCTAGCAATTGCTATACATTCAGTGAAACAGTATAGTGATTTTTCAGTGTCTTTTCAGGATTCAGATTACCAATACAATATCAATTCATTCTAAAATTAAATGTTAACTTTGTCATTTGCAGATTTTGCTTTGTAAAAGCAAACAAAGTACTGGTTTCTCAGTTTAACATATCATAGTCACATCATTCAAGTAAACATGGGACAATTATTAAACACTTAGTAAATGAAAGTAAGTTGCCGACCATGGATCAATAAAGGAAGTTGTTTACAGGTGTGGCTCCATACTTCAGCCCTCAATAAACAGATTTATCTAGATAAACAATAAACAGATTTATCTAGAACTGTTTATCTGATCACACATTTACCCCCGGTTTCACAGACAAGGCTTAAGCCTAATCCTAGACTCAAATGTAAGTCTGAGCTGTTTCAACTGAAAGAAACTTGCAATTACTGATCTTAAAATATATCAGTGCCTTTGTTTTATCTCAAGATACACACCAATAATGTTTTTTTTCTAAGTACATTCATAAAAAATACTTAAATGTCCTAATTGAACTATGGATTAATCCTGTCTTAGTCTAAGCCCTGTCTGTGAAACTGGGCTATAATGTGTGTAAAGAGATAAAGATCTCTAGATTAATCTGACTGTGTTAGTCGTAGTTTGGGTCCACGAGTAGATTAAGCTGTGTTGGCAGTTTTAATGAAATATTGTATTGAAATAAGCTGTAAGGTTTAGTGCTTTACTGATACTGGAATTTTATTTCGGTTATATCGGTCAGATCTATTGTGAAAGACAGACGCCTTGAGACAGATGCGACACAAGGTCACATTGAAGCTAATGTGACCTCTGATAAGCTACTTTAGATATTTTGCTTAAAACCCTTGATCGACACAATATACAGGTATGCTGGTTGATATTATTGGGTTTTTTATATCTTTGTGTCAACATATTTAATGAATCGGGACATGCTGGTGCATAAGCTAAAATCAATACTCATGTTCTGTTATAAATATCAGCTCAGCCAGTAGCAGTCATAAGAATTAAAATAAAGCAAATGTGAACAATTTCTTTCAGAATTTTTCTGACTTTTTAAACTTTTGATTTAAATCAAAACTTGGGTATTCTAACAAGAAATAAAAATGCAAGAAATAAAAATGCAACAATAATCCATTAACATTAGGCTAGATGCCTCCAACTACGGTAAAGTTTCTAGTATCAAGGAACAAGAGGCCCAGACTTGTGACCTCAAGATCAAAAAACATCATAAATACACGTTCATCTAGCAAATGCGCTCAGAAATAAGTTCGCACCTACGGTGCTACAGCAAGTTTCGATATCTTTAAATGCCCTTCCACATAAGCTGGTCAACACCCTTCTGAACGCACTGAGCAAAGGCAAACAAGATCATAACCTAACATAGGCTTCCACAGCAACATTTCAATGCAAATGACATATCGGTAACTAATATCATATACTTTTAAAATCAGCTTAAACTCGATAAACTCAACTATAAGAAGATATAAAAGAAAGGATAAGAGACACAGACCTGTCAGCAGAGCTCCTCTCCTCAAAGACTGAGCGTTTCAGTCTTGAAGTGCTTCCTGCTTAAGTCAAAGTTTAACTCTGCTTTATTGAGTCTAATCATTATCTACTGATTCACCGCTCAGGGGAGTGGACTGTAAATATAAGGTATTTTATGGTACCGTTTGGCAAATAGTGCACTGGATGTGTTAATGTGTAAACATCAAGCGTTTAATTAAAAGGACACAAAACGAAAATGCATCAAAAATCTTCCTCTGTAATCAGGGGTCTTCAGTAAATTCTATGCAAGATGATAAGGACAAAGCAGAATTCTGAGGACAAGCTTGGACAAAAAGAGAAAAATATATCTGAAAACAAGCTGTGTGATGGATGAAAATCACTGTATATTCATACAGAGCGTAAAGGTCACCTTCACACAGCTGTGTGCTCACAATCGTGAGTAATACAGGCCTGCAATCTTTGATCCTTGATCTTTTGACAGACTCTGGCATGGTTGTGCAGGTTTCTCAGTTTCGTCTGATACTGAAAATGAATACATTAGATAGAACTTCTGAGCTATTCAGCAATGACACTTAAAAATAAACTTTATTTACTCACCCTAATATTGTTTCGTTCCAAACCTGCATGGCTTTTCTTTCTTCTGTGGAACACAAAAGATGTTGTTGTTTTGGACCCCATTAACTTTCGCTCTACTGACAAAAACAACTGAAACATTTTTTAAACGTAATCTTTTAAAATACAATGACAGAATGATTTGAAACATCTGTTTTTACAGGTGCGAGTAACAGCACACGTTTTCTCTGCAACACTTACATAAAATAAAGCAAATATGGATATGAATACTGTAAGATATTAACTTCTGAAAAATCTATTGTAATCACTTCCTGTAAAAGTGACCCCTTCCATGTCAATTTTCTCAGGTTGAAGGCACCTTGAGTGGTAGTTACTCAAGAATTTCCCATGGTTTTCCATTGACTAATTATTATGCAGCCGTATCAGCACAATGGAGAATAAGTAAGAGGGTAAAGGTTAAGATTAGGAGCGACGATACTTACTGCAGGACTGGTACTGAAACAGAGAAACCTGCTGCTGCTGCTGAGATGAACTATTATACTGCAGCAGGTGACCACATTTTCAGTAACATTACAACACTGTTGGTGTAGATGGAAGTTTGTTTCATCGAGTCTAGCTGCCTCATGCATAGTGGATCTGACAAGTAATAGCCTCAAAATGAGCAATACCTGACAATCTGCCACACTCCATGTGCACTCATAAACAAACAGGCAACAGCTGCCCAACTAGCTTCAGTCTTACAGTTTGAACACATCTTCTACATTCATAATAATTCATTATCATTCACACAGCAGCGATCACACATCAGCTGAATGTGTCATTCATTTGTCCTTCTCACCTTTGAAAGGAAGGTAGGAGTGTTTCTGAACAACAGGAACAAATGTGTTCTTGTATTATACACGATTATTACACACATACATTCACCAGCAGGGCTGAGGCTGTAATCCGTCCGTTATCTGTGAATTATCTTTATTTATAAAATAGATTAATATAATGATACTGTGTGTAAACTGGCAACACCTTTACAATAAAGTCTCATTAGTTAATGTTAGTTAATGCATTGACTAAAACTGTGCAATACATATGTTACAGAATTACTCTTAGTTAACATTAAAAATATAATGTAATGTATTGTAAGGTCATGTTCACTAGATGTTGAATTTAACATTCACTAAGATCAATAATTCTGTGTTAAATCTGTCAAAATCATTTAAAAAATTGTTATTTCCAATATTAAATTAGATATTAAACCCCTGACTTTCAGTGTATATTTAGACTTTACAGTATGCCTAATTGTAAACTGGATAAACACACACAATTGACATGTTAAAATTATCATTTGTGCATAATGGGTAGAGGACATGTATCTAAAGCTGTAATCCCTGAATAATATGTTGTCATATGCACACCATAGGAACAGCTGGTGTATGTTTTTTTTAATATCAAGGTTAATGCCTTTATGTTATATTATATATTTTAGAGTGACCCCAGCTGAAAAGACAATACCATAAATATGTGATAAAAGTGCTTTTCTGCTCTTCCAGATGTGTGCACTTTCAAAAGGACCAAAGTATTTCAGATTTATCATAAAAAACAATATTTTATTTCTTTTGAATGCTATATGCTCAAACTGAGCAAAAGCTGGACAAAATATTTCACACACAAGGTACGACAAGGAAGGTTTTCAATTCAAAAGCAAATCCATCAGGAAAATCATAAAAAAAAGTAAAAGAACCACTTTTAGAGTGTTGGGGTTCCCACGATGGCTTTTGAAAAGGACGATGGGTAAGACTAGAGCGTTCTGTCCTTCACAGAGGGAGCGAGAAGCCTGTAATCGATGATCTTCTACAGCACAGTCTAATATAGACATCCATGGATTTTTTTAAAAATCACAAAATGGGAAAAAAACAAACACTTGAACAGATACTTTCCAAAATGCTTGCACCCAAACTTCACACAAACCAATTCAATTTTTCGGACCAATTCAAAGTCTCTGCACTACAGACTCATCAGGTCATGACATGATTTGGACTTGAGCTTGAAGGCTGCTTGCTTGTTCTTCTTAGCAACCATTCTGTTAATGAAACGCTTTGCTTTCTTTGGGAGACTCTCTCGTCGCTTTTGAAGAGAACAACGTCTGGTGAGGTTCTCTGTGCTGTCTCTTCGCAGACGGAGCTGGCGGATGATGCCCT